GAGCCCGCCTGGTCATAAACTCGGACTTTGTCAGAACTGCCCGCCGCGAGGCGGCCGTCGGGCGCCCAGGCCACGGACTCGATGCTTGCAAGGATGTCACTGTCCGCATCGGCGAGGGTGTGTGAGAGCCGCAAGTCCTGGCGCCGTGCAGCAGCGCCAGGGACAACGGTTGTTCTGGCAGAACCTGGAAATTGAAAACCTAGGTGCCAAATGGAGCAAATACAGGTTGCGCTGCAACCCTTGATTTAGAAATTTCTGGAACTACCAAGCAAAGCACCGTGTAAAGCCTGCTCATCAGCACATCGAACCTTCAGGAACTGCAAGCGCTGCGCAGCGTTTGCATCAGTCCGAAGTCCGCTGCCTTTAAATCCAGGGTCCGCTTGAGCAATCATTGCAGAGTGATATTGAAATGGATTGCTAACAGCCAATGACCAGCAGCAACAAGAAGGCTCACATCTAAGAAGGGATGAAAGCACCAGCGACGTGGCACAATACGAAAGAAACCAACCACCGAGCCCTACTGAGCCCGCCTGGTCATAAACTCGGACTTTTCCGTCAGAACTGCCCGCCGCGAGGCGGCCGTCGGGCGCCCAGGCCACGGACTTGATGGTACTGTCCGCATCAACAAGGGTGTGTGAGAGCTGCAAGTCCTGGCGCCGTGCAGCAGCGCCCCACCGACCCGTGGCCCGCATCAACGGCAAACCCTTCAGAAGGGGCATGAAGAGGCAATGGAACACAGCGCGACCATTGAAACATCTGAGAGTTCAAAAATTCATGGGATTCTCGGAATACTCAGGCGAAAGTTGTTATAGAGAGTCAGATGGTCGGACTCGCCGAAGTCTCACCGGGTTTTGGCAGCGGTAGTGACTGGGGCCGTTGCTCCCAAAGGACCAAGGACTCCAACGAGAGGACAAAACTGCAGTCGCACGTTTGGCCAAAAGCATGCCCTCCAGTCTAAAACTTCATTTGGCATCTTTAGGCTTTGCGACGGCCGAATGCCAGCGGCTGGTTTGATCATGCCACTGGTCCGCATGATCAACTGCAGCCGACTTTGAGCTTCGAGACTGTCAGACCACCAGGCATCCAACCATAATCGGTGCATTGGTCTCTGACGTGCAGATGTGTCGTCTTTTGGCACAAGCCTCTTTCTCGCAACAGCGACTCCAATGCGAGAATCTGAAGGTTGGAAGTAGGAAACTTGCAGCAGCATGGCAGCATGACCCTGCAACAATTGCAGACAAGTGCGTATCGACGCCTAGAGCCGAGGAACCCGCCGAAAAACGCTGCAAAGCTGCCATGCTCGGTGAGCAGTGGCTCCCTTACGGAAATGCCCTGTGAGATCAGAAGGATCAGAAGGACAAAAGCAAAGAGCTGCAGAAACGCTGGCCAAAACCATAAAGACAAGTGCCCCAGGACCTGAAACAAGACATGCACATGCCATACCCTCCCTCCAACAGTCATGGAAGTTGACAGGAGGGCTTTGGAAGACTATTTTCCTTTTGGGATCTTTTGGGGGAACCCCTTTGTGCACGTCCATGATTGTTGGAAAGAGGGTAGGTGCGTTTGCAGAACCATGCGCCCCATCGAGTCAAGAGGCATCTCCAACCTGGCAAACAATCCGTAAACACTGGCCTGGTGAGGCAAGCGGCTGATCTGGGGCCATGGAACGTGAAAAGCTTTACATGTTTACCGTCAGAGGAATCATTGGCCTGCGCGGGCAGAACCAGCTTGCATGTCCAAGCTCCGGATCGACCGGTGGATCCATCTGTGGAATGTTGTCGCAGCAATGCGAGGCCACTTTTGCCGATGCATACGCCTGCGGCATTCGAATTCCTGGGGCCTGCGCGAGCCTGCGCTCAACTGAACGAGCCTCCGCGCACCTACGCCGTTGAAGGTACAAACCTGCTGCGTTTGAGAGGGTGGGTGGTGAATCACTTACCACGCTGCAGATCAATGTAATGCAAAAGCCCGATGACTAATTCAACAAGCAAAGTTGACCTGATTGGTTCCAGCCTACGCGGTGATTATGTTCCTCAAACCGCCGACTACGCATGCCTCCACGCGCGCACTCCTGTTTCCTTATGTTCCTTTACAACCCTGGAAAGCTGTGTATCTAGGACCGTAGAAGACTCAACTGCCACACAAACACTGATGCGCACCTGCCTAAACAGCCTGACCCTGTGCATACCATCTCCCAACGGTCGGCACCTGTCGGTCTTGCGATGTACCAGCCACTTGAGCCTCAGCAATGGAACGCAACTTGAAGAAACACGAAACAGAAAATCGAATGGAGGGCCACGCCAAATGGCGAATAGAGCGCCCTCTGTTGGCCACCCTATCTTGGCACCAAACAAAATGAACAACAATGCAGGTGTGCAGTTGCTCACTTTCCGGAGGAAGCTTCGATGGAACAAGGCAACAAGGCAAACATACCTAGAACACGTTCGGCCAAAATTTCAGTTGAAATCTGAAATGCATCGCATGTTTGAGCTGAAGTCACCAAAAGAAGTTCGGAATTGGATTGCAGGAATAATATATTACTCATAGTCGCCAGAATAGACTCAAGTTTCCTTTCGGGAAGTCTCGCCGGAATTGCCGAAAGTTTCTCCGAAATTGCAGGGAGTTTTGCGATGCAAGCCGCCCAAGAAAATCTCAGCAAGAATCCTGCTCGAAATGCATGGCCGAAAGGCTAAATTTTGCCCGGAAATGCAAAAGGTTACTTTATTGAAACCGGGCACTATTTTTTAGCATTTCGATCCTGTCGGTGCACTTCCTCGAGCAGAATCCGCTCAAAATAAAGGCAAGATGCGCAAAGAGACGCGCCATGCTTCACAATGCCTGGCAGTTGCTTCAGCGCGTCCCCCACCTTGCCGTTGAGGGCTTCCTTGCCCATGTCAAACGCAGCTTTGCCAAATGCTGCAGCCTCGCAATGCTCAAACTCGCCAACGACATGATGCATCTTTGGATTTGTGGGGGTTCCTGCTATGGCCTGACTTGGGCTGAATTGCGCCTGGCAACGTCATCGCCATCTACCGCTGCCAATGCGTCGACAGCGTCTTTGTCATCGCTTGCCTCTGTCAATTTGTTGGTGCCTGCCGTCTTGGCCTTTTTCGAGAGCTGGACGCTTCCAAGCTTTGCAGATGCAGCCGGAAGCGCCCGGGGCTGGCTTTGCCAAACCTGCGCTGCAAACAATCAGCCTTTTTTCCAGGCAAATTGGTCGGAAAAGCCACGTTGTTTGTTGACCATGCCGACGCGACAAACCCATTTTGACCCAGATGGTAGGAAAACCGCCTTGTTTTGATCTCAAGGTGGGTGAAAACCCCCGAGGCTTTCCAAGGTCAAAGGTGCAACTGGTAGGTCCAGCCAATGGCGAGCCACGCCCGCCACCACGCCCACCACAATCCCCAGGATGGCCACGCGTGCCGTCCAAGCCGGCGGGAAGGGGGGGGGGGTTCGCCTTGCGGAGCTCGGCGCCCTCCATCAACAGACCTGGATTTCCGCATCTTGCCTGGGCTGAGTCCGAAAACATGCAGCCGCCTTTTTTGGCTCTGTCAGCTTCCCGTTTAACCAACTTGTTTTTCTCTTGTGTCACAAACAGGCAAGGGCGAGGCCCCACAACGTATGGAAATGCACTTGTTGGGATGTCTGCTTTTGTTTGGATTTGAAGGGAAGCCAAAAGGAAAACACCAATGTTGGGGTTCCCCTACAAAAAGACACACCCACATTCAGCCGGTCAGCTGAAGGGAAGCCATTGGCGTAGACGGCACAAGTCTCGGGTTGCTGGAAGTCTCGAGCACGAAACTTGCAGCAGCGCCAATCTCTTCCGATGGCAGCCTCTGAAAACACCCGCTTCAAAACGGCTGACGGTCCCAGGCTGAGACATCCCAAGATTGAAATCAGTTCTGCTGTACTAGATGCCTTGACTGCCCCATCTCCGGAACATGGCTTGCCCCCCGGACGTGGTTCCCCACAGAAACCAAAGCAGTCCTTCACTTAGACAGGGCCCGGCTCCGTTGTCCTTGGGATTCAGGGTGGGTGGCTTTTGGCCCAAAGAAATGGGGCTCTAAAAAAATTACTTTCTACTTACAAGCCTGTACGATACTCGTACCTTGGGGAAAGTACAAGAACCCCCCCCCCCCCGCCCCCTGACTTCCCAAGATCATAAAGAAATTGGAGCCCTCCTGGCCCTGGAAGCACGTTGGGGGGAGATCAAGCCGAGTGCTGTGAAACGGCAATAGCGTGCCCAGGGGGTTGACCTCAGGACCGACCCTTCTGAGACAAGGATGTGTGAATGTAAATGTGGGGGTGCAAAAACGCGGGGGGCAGCAACCCAGTAAATTGCGGTAATTCTCAGGGACTTGAATTAGGATATTGAAGCCGCTATGACGCTATGACCTTCCTAGGCCCATTGACACTTCGAATCAATAAATGAGTGGGTGATTCCTTAGGCATGTCCCAAGCCGTTCAGATGAAGTGACCGACCTTCAATGTGCCCGGATGGAGTGTCGGAGTGTCTCGGCATCCGCGTCCCAGATTCATCTTGCGGGTACCCGACTTTTAGCGTGCTGAAGGAAGGTCACAAGGAAAACATAAATTTGGCCTCGAGCACTTGAGCACATAAATTTGGCCACACGCTCAAGGGCTTAGAATTTCCAAGTCCAAGTCGTGTCTTGTTTGAGGGTATCCTTTTTCAGAAGGCTTCAAAGAAAGTTGAAAGATGTTGAAAGGAGAACCAGCCTTGCTGGGTTCATTAAACAAAAGCCAAACCCAACATAGAATCGTAGGTGGTTTCGAAATTCAACGTTAGAAGCCGCAACTCAGTTTAAGTCTGATCGCGTTGTCTTGCAATACGACATGAACCTACTATCAAGTGAAAACTGCAGGGGTGCTTTAACGTCTACCAACAAAATTGGAAGGTCTATCATGCTTGAATACTTCTTCAACTCTTTGCACCCATGCATCGCACAGTGGCAGGCGGCGAATTGCGAGTGGCGGCGTGCCTGTGGTGCTTTTTGCTGCTTGTTGTACCTCAGCTCCAACCCACAAATTCCACGTGAACGGACTTGGAAAGGAAAGGCCGCCCACAAACATGGACCTGACAGAAAGCTCCGCAAACAAGAACGGGCCAGTGTCCAGGAGGAAGGGACATCTTTCAATGACACAAGCATAGCCAAACCTGGGTTGGTCTCAGAGCCCCCCAAAAAAAAAAGTTTAATAAACTGAATTTGTTGCTGGTTTGGGGAAAAATCATTGCCCAAAAAAAGTGAGCAGTTCATTTCGTGCTGACCGCAGGGCAGCCTCTGGAAACTGACGAAAGGTCAGTCAGGTAAGGTCAACCGTGAAGTGAGGACTTGTTGATCTTGTTCTTGGGTAGTGCGGAAAAAGTCATGCTCCAAGAAGTCTCGCCCAAATTTCTGTAACTTCCAAACTGGAAATCATGGGGCCTCAGCACATTCACAAGCTCGTGTTTCTCCTAGGCGAGCCAAGTAAACAACTGCCAAGAACGACGTAAAACCGAAGGTCCAAACATGGCCCGCATCTGGAGCACACAAACCCGCTTAGCACCAGTTTGGTAGGTGGTTGATCCCAGTATTCACATCGGGTTTCATCCATCCCAACTGTGTGTAGGATTTTGTCCATCCATAGTCCTGGAGATCGCAATGCAACGGCCAGCTGTGAACAAAGCAATTTGCGGCTTCGTGGCTTCGTGGCTTCGAGGCCCGGACGAGGGCGCCGGCTCTTGCCTTGCCTGCTTGTAGCCAGTGCCGTCGCTGTACGTAGCCTCAGACCATCCCGCTAAAGGTTCCGGAAAGACTGAACACTTGCCCAGCCCTTTGGGGGAATCCAAGCTGCATCGGTGACTGAAGGCCCAGGTCAGCCAGTCAATCAGCCATGCAGGCAATCAGTAAACTGTGGATCGACTTTGTGACTTTCTGCAAGCCTTCTGCCAGAAAAGCAGCCAACAGTGCAAACACATTTACTCTAAGGGCGAGCGAAAACGTTCACCTTTCAGGCACCCATCCTACTTTAGTGTGAGCCAATGTCCCTTGTGTTTGTGTGAGATTTAACGAGTCCTGCATGTCCCTCCCACATGTACCGACAATAAATCCGGACATGTTGACCGAACCTTATGTCAATGTAATTAGTAACATGCTGGTGCGATGGGAAGGGCTGAAAGGATACAGGGAACGGACTGAGCCATGAACCATGCGGTTGGACATTGCTTGCCCGTGTTGCACTGGGGTCAGCAAACGCATGCTCCGTAACCCGTACTATCCACTAGGTCTGTACTTGCACCGAATCCGGCTGATCTCCAATTACCTGCTTTACAGGTCCAGGCTATGTGACCCCACTTACCCTACTCAAAACCTCAGTGCAAGTAATTTGTAGTAGGGGTCAGTCCCAGTGAGATATAGAGGCGGCGCTCTTTTTAATTCATAGTTTTGCGTAGCTAAATTGTAATGTCGCACCTGGTTTCATATCGGTAGTCTGAATTATGTCAATTTTCCGCGGCTTGAACACCCCCCACCTTTTCGGTTCCATGATTTATGTCAAGTTCAGACGCCCAAAAATCGATCCAAGCTCCCTGCCAGATCCTGAAAACTAAGCAACTGGCCATCCCCCGTTGGATTCCTTTGTGGGGACATCTATTGGTTTTTTAGCAGCTTAGCACCCGGCACAACTGGAAACAGTACCACTTACCAATTGAGCCATTGCTGATGTTCTTTCTGGGCATCCCAACTGCCGGCGTCAGCAGCGCTGGCAATTTGGAACCCGTGCGAGTGCTCATCATTGCCAGAGAACCTCGCACACATCGTCTTTTCAGCAAGTCCCTGAAACCTAACCTGAGAACAGGCTTTGGCACAGTAAGATTCAAAACCTGGACAAAAAGTCGATCTTAAACCCCCCAAATGTGAAAACCTGGTTGGTTCCTGTCTGCATGGTTGGCAGCCTGTCTCCTATAAAATGGTGCATTGCCACCAGGCTTAACCCCCAAATCAAAACATGTTCAACCATCCCCCTTTGTGTTGAAGGGTGGGGTTGGAAAAGCATTTTTGTCTACAAAATCTGAGGGGTAGAAGGGCAGCCTACATGACTAGCAGAAGGCCCTAAACAAGGCTCCAGAAACAGGGTGTCACGCATACACGGACACATCACGCAATGTCCTTGTCTTCCTTTCTTGTTTCCTCTCTCACATGAGCAGGAACCGCGCACAAAATGTCGGTGTCTGGTGTTCAATGCTACTACAAAATGACATTGACTCAACGGCCCCCGAACATTGCATTTTGTACGGGTGTTGCTGCATCGCGACATGTTATAGAACAAAATTCCCTCCCGGCATGTGACATAATATAATGATGTAAAGGGTATAAGCAGGTAACGCATACTCAATGACATAACCAGGCCCAACCCCTCAACATGGTCCTCAATACTTTGCAAACACAACAAGAGACAGACAGCCTCTACAAGATGATGGCATCATGTGCTGAATCCATTTTGTAAGGCCAAATTGACGGTCCTACAACATGGGTTCTGTACCAAAATGGGTGTATCCGACCTGAGCCGCGACCCCATCGTGGCATCTCCGGCGGAATGCGCGCGACTGCCTGCAGTTCTTCTGGCTAGGTCTCCCAGTGAGCCGAAAGGCTGGGGTTGTCATCGGTTTCGGCGGGTCGGCGGGTCGGGCCAGACACTTCCCCACTGACAAAGCGACAGCAACAACGGGTTCCAGGCTGCGCTTGCTGGTGCGATACGTAGGGAATGAGGGAATGAACCTGTGGGTCCCCTGAAATGAAATCACAAGGGATGGCTTATAGGGGTCATCTCATTCCCTGCCGTGCATCAGCAAGTCCTCGGGGGTGCTAAACGCATATGGGAGACCCCAAGACGTTTCCCTTAGGTCTGGCGTTCAAATCCACACAACACACACACACACACACACACACACACACACACACACACACACACACACACACACACACACACACACACACACACACACACACACACACACACACACACACACACACACACACACACACACACACACACACACACACACACACACACACACACACACACACACACCACACACACACACACACACACACACACACACACACACACACACACACACACACACACACACACACACTTGTGAAATCCCCCCTCTCTCGGTCCTTGTTGTGTCTCATTTCTTCTACGAGGGTCAGGATCAAGCCCAGTGGGCACACTCTAGGTTCGGATCATGCACTTTAATTGTACCTCAAGTGGAGTTTCGTCATCCTTGGGCCCTACTCGTCAGGGCCACAGACTAGGCCCAAGGATGGCTGTGGCCTACTCCACGGATATAAAAAAAGGAAAAACGGAGGTTCCGGGCCGCTGGCACTACCGTTCTTGGCAGTTCGCAAAGCCTTCCGGCTTGCTTTTTTGGAAATCTCAAGTCCCACGGGTTTAGGGAGGGGAAGAAAAAACGAGAATTCGGACTGCTGGCGCTACCGAGCTCGGCAGTTTGCAAATCCTTCTGGCTTGCATTTTGAGCTTCGAATTACACGCCGCCCTTAGTAAACAGGATTGGACACACACAAACAGCCGTACGGCACTTAAATTATCAGAAAATTACATAGTGGCCCAAAGATTCCAGAGCGCGTGGCACTGTGAGGCGCCTCTTCCGGAAACTGTCGACGCCAAGCTGGTCAGCACATGCACCAAGCACTCGTTTCAGGAAAAAGGTTGTGGGTTGGAAACTTGCGCAACGTACAACGGCATTGAGCTGCAACATTTTAACGAAAAGTACAGAGAATGCTACTTCGGGGGCCGAAGTAGGGACCCGAACATGAAGAATTGGCAAAGAAGCGGTGTCCGATTGCCAAAAATTACAACAGGGACCATGCTGGTACCGCAGCTTTGTGGCAAGATTACTGCAAAGGTCGGAGTGATTCGAGAAAAATTGCAGGTCTGACGGATCTTTTGACATGCTCCAGTGAAACCCATTCTGGCACGCACATGTTGCAGCAGAGGGCTCGCCTCCAAAACCGCTGGCTGTCGCATCTTTGACAATGGAAGCAAGGAAAACGAGGAAACAGTACCCCGGGGAAAACCTAAAAACATTAAAACATGGGTCCAGAAAAACCATCAGAAACTGTCATATCAAGCTGCTATTGCGCCGACACCTCGCAAACTGAGAATATTACAGAGATCGTGAGCGATCAGCAACTGTGACGGTCATCAAAAACGGCGCAAGACTGTGGCACGCGTGCATGCGCCCACCCTTGCACTCGAGTCACTTGTTGGGCCCAAAAAGCATGTTGACACTTCAGGACGCAAGACCCAAAGTCCGGAAACACATTGAATGCCCATGAGTTCAGCTGTAGCTGGGCCGGGATTCCAAAGCCGAAACTGAACTGGTGCAAAAACCCAAGCTAAGACATCAGGAAGGAAAAAAAAAACAAACAAAGGCAACCAAGGAAGAAGACCTTAAGGAAAAAGGAAAGAGGGAATTCCGCCAACCCCCTCGGGCGTCTTGGGAAGCATCCTAGGAAGCGCTGCACACTGGCCCTCGCGGCCGTGGGGTGTGCGTGCTCTAGCTCCCCGCAGGCATGCACTCTTCACTACACAAACATTTGCAATATGTTTGTGTGTTTCACTGCCGACATCCCCGCAACTGTGGTGCCCCAATTTTTATTGGCTCGAAATGACCCTCGGATGGGGCCGCGTTTGATGCTGAAACTTCACGTGACGCCGGCATCACGTCTAGGCATGCTGGAAAGTGACAACTCGCATCCAAGCTGGGCAACTTCACACGACTTCAGCTGATGGCGCGTGTGTCAAGATTGTGTCTCTGATAGGCGTTACAAGAAGCCGCATCTTTTGGCCTCCAACGACCTTGGTCAGCCCCTTCGGAATTTGGGGAAGACATGGCACCGAAAAGCAACAAAGGTTCTCGCCGTCCCCAACCGTAAAGGAAACGGCAGAAAGTGCAACTCTAGCTGGCATCCACAACAGTGCTTCTGGCCAACCCCTCGTGAAAAGGACGCGGGCTTCGCAACATGAATTCAAGGTCCAGGGCGGCATATATGGCAGACTACACCTGACTCCGGAGCTGCCTAACAGGGTCCAAATGGCCTGATGGGCCCCATCTGCCCCATGTATCATCGGCAATGGCAGGCGCGCGGGGTTCGTCTCCTTTAAAGTTGCTGTCACGGGACGAACTGGCAACAGCAATGAAATCGATCCGCGCAGCAGCTTCTCGCACTGCCCACCGACCGGCCGGGGAACGTATCAACGGAATCATGCGTGTGAGGTTGTTTTCATGGCAAGTGTCTGCACCCGGAGCTCTGTGGTGCTGTGTGTCCATGCACCCCATGAGCAGAATGTCATCGACATTCTTTGGAGAGTGCCGGGCTCCTGCTATCCAGTGCTGCCAATCAGCCCCGCGGGGCTTCTTATCACAACCTCGAGCAAAAAAGGAGAAACTATATTCCCCCTTGCTGGGGTTCAAACCTACTTGGTCTGTGGCTGAGCGTAGGATTTTACCCACAGCAAGAACCCCAAGGAGGCCTCGCGTGTCTGTAGCATGTAGCCAAGTATATGGCCAGCTACCTGTGCCCGGATCTGGGCCTGGAAAGTTGGCCGCCGTGAAAAGCCAAATGTTGCTATTGTGTTCTGCGTTGGCCCAGCACATGGCCTTGTCAGAAAAAACGAGTGAGACTGGGTGCCCAACAGTTGCGAGGGCGCGAGCGAGCTTGTCCAAACTAGCCTGCGCAATTGGTACCGACGGGCCGTCTGGGCCGAAAAGGGCGACCAGTTCTTGTCGCACCTTGAACACTTGGGCGGGAGTGATCTCGTGCCACCTTCGCATTAAATGAGCTTGGAAGGCTTTGCGGCTCTGAAGCTCATGCAACTCTTCGAACTTCGGAACGATGAGGTGCTGCAGACGGGAAGAACGAATTTGGTGCACCAAAAGTCGGTAGGCCGTCAAGGCATCCAGCGGCTCCTTAAAAATTGCCGCTGCGTCTATGCTGGAAATCAGACGCGTAAGCTCTTGAAGCGGCATATGGCGAGCCTGTTCAAATTCCACGACTTCCGGGGCTTGATCCCGAGAGTGGGCTTGAGCTTGAATCAACGCTTCCAGGCGTTGGTCCGCAGTGCCCGATGAGATTGGGCGCTCCGCGCCCGTCGAGCCACTAGGGATGGCTGGCGCGGACTTGCCAGGGGTCCATGGTCTCGGCGCCATGTCAGTCGTACCCAGCTGTTCAATCAGCTGCTTGTGAATATCAAGCAAAACTGACGCAACCGGTCGGGGAGGTCCACACGACTTAGCGCTTGTAGCCGGCGCTGACACGTGCGTTGGCTGCGGGGTTTGCGCAAAGCGACTAAACATTTGCGGCGCAGGAGCTTGCTGCACCGGCGGCGGGGGACCTCTCGGAGGTGGTCCGGCCTTTGGCGGCGGACCTGCTTGGATTACTTGGGTTTGCCACTCGCCTGGGGGTGGCGCTGAACACGTTGGAAAAGGGATCTTTGACCCGGTGGCAGGGTTGGGCCTGTAGATGCCTCCTCCCCGAAAATCACCTGGGGGGCTTTGAGTCGCAGTTTCACTGCGACGGTGGAGCCTACGGCGGCGGTGGGACGGGCTCCTAGTACGGTGAGACTGCGACTTGCGCTGACGAGCTCGGGAATGGTCCCTGGACCTTCTTCTGTCGCGCTCAACACGCCGAGACCTTGATCTGGCAGGTGCCGCAAGGTCCTGCTCTGGCTGTCTCGGTGTGGGAGAAACGGGCGTGAGCGACATTGGTTGCCCCACTCGCGTTTGGAGCGGCCGTGGCCGAGGCGGAGGTGCTAGCTGGGCCGGGTTTAAAAACGTGATAGGGGTGCCTTGCCCCTCCATGCCCGGGAGACCCGGGTAACCAGGTTCTCCGGAATACGGTGGTGAACTAGCTCCAGCGAAGAACTGAAAGACAAACTGCGACATGGCCTGGCCGGAACGGGCTGTGCGGGTGAAACACGGGTTTGAGCTGGCTGCGCACACACCTAGTGTCATGGCTGTTGCTCAAAAGCCTACTGCCAGTGCAGTTGGAGTGAAGTTGGAGTGAACCTGTGCTGCGCGATTGTTTTCTGGTTTGGGACTGCGTCCACACGGTCATGCCAAAGCGCAGGGAGGGAAGCCTTTGGCTATGTACAAGTGCCTCAAGCGGGCGACCTGCGACTGCCGAGCGCCAGGTGGCCATGTATATTTCAGTATCAATGCTTTCCGCGAATGATACCCACTAGCTCTGGCTGCCCATGAGCCAGCGCTATCCGGATGGCGGATCTGCCATGGTTGTTCTGGCTGGCAATATGTCGCTGTCCTAGCTGGGGCAGAGATTACAAATCCGAGCCAACGGTGATCCGAAACAGCTTCAAGCTGAATAGATCCGCCGTAAAAAGATAGCTGGGCAAACTCGTGAAATGCTGAATTCCGTAGCACATCTTGACTGGCAAGCAAGATGCGATTATCCACGTATCGTAGCATCAAAAATTCCGGCGTCTGCGACGCGTACTTTTGAAAGGCTTCCTGAGCGGCCCAGGACTTCCGCCAAGAGCGCTCTCGAAAAATGACTGGCAGACTTGACAAAATAGGGCTTATTTGGTTGCCTATGCATGTCCCTCGAGTCTGGCGATACACACGGCCCGCTGCTTCAAACACACCTGTAGTGAACGACAGCTCGACTATGTGGGCAAGGTCACTCTGTCGAATGGCTTTCAGTCCGCGGGAGCATCCACCCCGAGGCCGACCTGGAAAAGCTTTCTCCTGCCCTTGCTGTGGGCGCATGACAACTGTAATGTCGGCTTCGTGCCCAGCTGCCTTGTACTCCGCCATTAAGCAATCTAAGGCCCGCAAAATTTCCAGACGTGGGACAGAGTTGAAGAAGCCAATAAGATCATCGTTGACCTCTTGCAAATGAACTTCACTAGGTGTGTCGCGAAAAAAGGTGTGCATTCTTTGCCATAGTCTAGGCATGGTGTCGAGGCCTAGGCCATCCCACCACACTGTGTGGATCATCAGCGCAATGGCTTGGGAAGCAGCCGCCAGTAAGCGAGCCAGCACTGAAGAGGCATAGCTGATGATGGTGCGACCCGTGCGAAATTGCTTCTTGCGTTTGAGAAACACAAAGCCTCGGGGGATCCGGGCTGCACATTCAACTCCCCAGGCGTAACGTTTTTGAATGGACTTGGGGATCTGTTTCACGACCCAGGACTGCCACTCCCCTGCCGTGCCCGTGAGAGGTTGAAATACTTCTGGGTCGTCCCAAGTGCGCAAAACTGCTTGATAGTAGAAGCGTGGACAGTACACCATCAAATGAGAGTTGTGGTGATCCTCATTGTGAATGACGAACTGCTTGTGCAGTATATGGCGGGTCTTGTGGATGTCTGCCCAAGTGAATCGATGGTGATGGTCCAAAGCAATCCTATGGTCCTCCCAGAGCTGCCAAAGCAGCTCGACGAACTCATCTTCGAGACTGGGAGGAAATCCATGCTTCCTGCGCCACCGAGAAAACTTCAAACGGTTGTGCTGCATGTAGTAGTGCTTGGCAGGGAAAAAAGTAGATGAAGCGCTGGCTGTAGCAACCGGTCGGAGCCACTGGTGGCAACTGACCAGATCTTCTATGCCGCAGGCGACGTGCGAATCTACCAGAGAGTTCGGAGGAAGCCGTGAACGGTACGATGCGCACGGACACTTAAGCTGTTGCACCTCACACGAGGACACACGCTGGTCCCAAAACTGTGTGTTGTGTAAGAACTCTCGAAGAGATTGGTGTGGGGCTTCACGAACGGTGTGCGGAGGAAGGTGAAACGGTACCAGCATCCACTTGTAGCGAAGCACCTGCGCCCTCAGCCAGCGTGAGATCTGCTTTGGAAAATCATCAGGTGCCAAAAACTGGATAGCGAGGGGCGCATTCTGCACAGGCCAAGTCATGTTTCGAAAGTGGGCGACCTGTTTCAAGAACTGCCGCGCGCGTGATCGCAGCGGCTCTTCCAAGTTCATACTTAGTCGAAACATCGCATACACTTCATCATCGGTGAACCGTGTGCTACGGAGAGTCTTGTTGGCTCGGAAACTGGCCGCTGTAAAGCTGGTCAAGTCAAACAGCATTTCCCAAGCATGTCGGCGTGACACGCACATGGCCAATGGTTGCCGGGTTGGGTATAATCTCTTGCGCAACTTGCGCCACAAGCGAAGCCCAAATCGCCCGTAAGCTGTCATGCGCCTGCGCTTTGCAGGCCGAAATCCAAGGGCTGAGCGTTTCAGGAATTGTTGGATGAAAGGGAAATTCAGCTTTGGCTGCCAGAGTTCGATGAGGGAGTGTTCAAAAATCCACGCAGCTCTATAAGACTCGCATGCGGCAATGGCAACTACGCTAAAGGCTTCAAAATTGCCTGCGCTGTGCCAATAGCGGACGGCCAGCTCAACCTGCGCTTCTTGATGGTTCTGCAACCGTTTAAACACTGACATGCGGTTGCTTTCCCGGAGTGTGACGGACACGGACGTGCTGCCTATGTACAGCATTGGTGACGGCTGCCGGTACTTCTCGAGAGTTTTAAAATGGCGCCAGTCCACTTGCAGCTTCACATAGACGGCATTGTTGGCTTGAAACCACGGCCAAGTGTATTTGTTGGGAGTGACCCCGAGCTGTTGAAATCGGCCGCGCATGACGTGCCCAAAGGCAGCGTCGTTGGGCGAATGTTGCGGCGTCTGATGGTGAAACAAAAGACATAAGTGAAGAAGCCCTTGGGCCCAAATGACGGGGGATTTGGCGACGGCAGCGCACCTGTGCTTGAAAAACGTGCACGCCGCGCCGAGCTCCAAGACCTCCTGAAACACTTCAAACTTACGTGCTGCAGGCAGGTCTGCGCTCTTGCAAGCTAGTCAAGCAGCTTGGTACTGAGCCGCATGAATAACGCTGGAAAGATTGCGGACATTCAGCCGGACTGCCATTTTCTGATCAAGTCCGAACCGGGTAGCGGCTTCAACGAGCTCGGCTTTGGAACAGTGCTTCTTCAACAGTTCCTGAACCACGCGCACATGCTTCTTGAAGACAGTGAACTCTCCTTTGAAAGTGCCCTTAAAAGTGTTGAGCCACTCGGTGATGTGCTCATCCTTGGCTCCGCGGGGTTGGGCGTCCAACATGCGAGCAGGTGGTCCCTGCAAAAGCTTTACAACCGCCGGATCGTGACCAGTCAGGTCAGGATGTTCATCTCCCTCCCCCTTGGCTCGCTTGGCGGGGGGGTCTGCTGCGCTGGACGCAGGTTCGCTGGTCCGCTTCTTGCTAGGGGTGAGCTGGATTCCTGCCGCTGCAAGCTTAGCTCGCGCACGACTTAGCTCATCAGCGATTGCCGGGTCCTGGCTAGGCGCGCGAGCTTGCATGGCCTGAAACAGTTCCTCTGCTAGTGGGCCCATAAACTTGGCAGAGTCTTTGTGCTTGTCAGGCACATCCTGAGTGAAAAAGGTCCGAGCCACATCGTCGATATTCAGGTGAGCATCACGAATCTTTTTCAGCAGACTCGTGACGAAGACGGATTCTTGGACGCTTCGCGTCCATACAATTCCCTGAAATCGGCCTTCTGAGACCAATCTCATGGAGAACTCAGCCATGCCGCGGTGGCACAATTCGTGCAAGCGGACGTCCTCAACCTTACGTCCTGCTATGCCGGTCTTGCGACTCCACTCCGTCGGCTGCACCACTCGAAAAAGTTGGTGGCCAGCGACAGGTGTCTTGTCATGACACGCGGCATCAGGAGAGAACGTGTTTGGAAATGTTGGCGCTGGGGGTGGCACGTCCGGGATGGACGCCGGCTCGGCTCGGGCTTTGGGTCTGTCTGCGGGCCAATGGCTCCAGGAATTGGACCAAGCATCGGTCTTGGACCATGCGTCAGTTTTCCAGTCGCTGGATTCCCAGTCCTTAGCCTTCCACGAGTCGCTGCTCCTGGCGCCCTGGATCTGCCACCACTGAGACATGGCGGTCGAACTAACGTTGTCAGAAGCACTTGCAATCTTGAGTGGCCAGCTGGCCGAACAGCTTCAGAAAAGAATGCGTCGGGGGGATGACGGCCTCTCAGACCCAATGGGCATGCTGGTTTCTGAGGCGATAGACATCGCTGGCTGTCTCTGTTGTGCTTTACAGCACTAACCATGAAATGGCAACTGAGTGGGAAGACTCCCAAAGCTTGGTGGAACAAAGGCAAGTTCCAAACTGACCTGGGGACCTCAAGGGTCAAGCTGACATCTGAGGGTCAACTGAATGACCAATGCTGCGCGCGAGCCGATGGCAAGGCTCAATCAAACACAGTAGGCTATCCTACCGCAGGCAGCCCGTTAAACGAACTACTGCCTGGATCACACTTGTGAAATCCCCCCTCTCTCGGTCCTTGTTGTGTCTCATTTCTTCTACGAGGGTCAGGATCAAGCCCAGTGGGCACACTCTAGGTTCGGATCATGCACTTTAATTGTACCTCAAGTGGAGTTTCGTCATCCTTGGGCCCTACTCGTCAGGGCCACAGACTAGGCCCAAGGATGGCTGTGGCCTACTCCACGGATATAAAAAAAGAAAAACGGAGGTTCCGGGCCGCTGGCACTACCGTTCTTGGCAGTTCGCAAAGCCTTCCGGCTTGCTTTTTTTTGAAATCTCAAGTCCCACGGGTTTAGGGAGGGGAAGAAAAAACGAGAATTCGGACTGCTGGCGCTACCGAGCTCGGCAGTTTGCAAATCCTTCTGGCTTGCATTTTGAGCTTCGAATTACACGCCGCCCTTAGTAAACAGGATTGGACACACACACACACACACACACACACTCACACACACACACACACAAGTCTCGCATAAAAAGCAACCCATGTGGGCATTGGGTTCCTTGTGCTCAGTCTCCACAACTCACACCCAGCTACAGTGCACACCCAAAAGCTGAAGCAAAGGCAAGAGGAGGTTCCTGAGAAACACCTGAAAGGTTGCCAAAACACCGCTATCGGGGCTATCGGAGGTGGGGCTGTCACGTGCGCACAACACACGTTTACAGAAGCCTTTCTATAACAATGAAGCTAGGTAGTAGAACCACCTACTAAAATTGCCAAATTGGGGCTCATGTGGATAGCTGCTAGCGTTTAATCAAGAAAGCATATGGTTTCTCAGCGACTTGGGGAGCTTAGGCGTGCACCCCATGCATGACATGAGTTGAAAACAAAGCGGGGCAAACGTCGGTTCATGGGACTAAACGTCGGTTCATGGGACTAGTCTATCTTAAGGATGAAGCTGTCGTGGCTCTGAGGCAGCTAAGCATTTTCCGGATCAAAGGCCACTGCCGCTGTAGCACGTCAATCCCCGAGAACGCCGACGCCTCGCTAACAAAGAGAAATAGAGACCCGGAAGTGTACTTTACCCCGCAACAAGCCGCCAGGCAATTTTGTCCGGTCACTGACTCTCCGCATTGGCTCACGGCAGCAGCACTTCCTCCAAAAGGTCCTGCAACGCTCGCGCATGCGCGCGCCGGTCGCGGTTTTCAAGCAACACCAGGGTGACTTCTCTTTTTTGCTGCGCTCTCTCCAGCCTTGCGGCTAAGGGGCAATCCAGCGCGGACAGGACATGCACAACTCCCCAAGCTCGATAGCTCTGTGGCCAGTCCGTAAAAGGCAGCCACAACAGGGAGATTCAACTAGATTCTCAAACCACGCCTCGCTCCCATAAAATTCTAAAATATGGTAAAATAGGCCTGGAGGCAGGCAAAACAGAATCACACCCGAGTGATTAGCACCCTTCCTGTACGTCTTGCTTGTGCCGAAGGCACTTCCCCAATACCACGTGACTGTAGATTTGTTGGCGCGTTGTTCAAAAGCCTGCCGCTTTCGTGGACGACTTTCTGACTCAACAATTTGGCCCCTGCTTGGCGGCTGGCCCTAAGTTAGCCATATACATACATAAAAGGCCATCAATCCACCAATTAATAAACTTGCAGGATGGTCCACCGGTGGCGATTTTCGAACAGAACGTGGACGCGAGAACAGAACGTGAACGCAACGAGAAGGGAACGGAAGCACCGGAGCTTTTCTGAAACAAGTTTGCATTCACGCATCCATGGGTTACGCTAGGGGTTCATACCACAGATCCTTCGCACTGCCTGAATATGAAAGGCCCACGTGTGGACCCATGCCCATTGGACCGCCGGTGATTACTTAGCCCATAAGCTGGGGGCTTACACCAGCGCTTCATACTACGAAGGTTGTTTTCAAAACACAACGAAAGGAACGCCGCAATCTTGATGGTCCCTGCGCCCAAATCATCGCGCGTGAGCAAAGGCAGCATCTGTTCGGCCCACTCCTGTGTAGCCTTCCAGGATAGGCGGGCCGCCCTTTCGTCGTAGCCGAAGGCTGGGTTTGTGTTCAGCGCCTGCAAACACAAACGCCCGCATTTGAGCCCCGGACCAAATGACTTCTTTCCCCAGGGCACGGGGCAATTGCCGTTGGGCGGGCCTGGTTCTTGTGGGAACTTGGGCGACCTCCCCCATGTCCTCCGATATGCTACCAATAGAACAAATGGGTTGAAAGGTTGAAATGCCTTGCCCACGCGACGCGGAAGTGCACAGGCCCCTTGGCAAGGAACGCGTAGTCTTCCCAACAGGATCGATTCACTGGCGTGGTTGTGGGTTGGCATCTATGCCTAATATATGCATGATGGCCTTGACATTGGCTATGTGGGAAAACGCTCTTCCCCCCACCCGCCAAGAAATCAAATAACAAGAAACCTGACAGCCTAACGTTGGCCCCCTTTCAAAGCAGCTTCCAAGTTAGCAGGGGGGTACGCGTCTGCGGTGGGTAGCCGTTAGCATCCCATGTACCTTCTCACCAGCCATGCAGGTGCCAACTGGGCCATGGCTATCAGCCAAAGATGCCAGTGACCCAGACGCAACGCGCTCGAGCTCTGCCAACAAAATCATGAATCGAGGAATCTCCTTCCTGGGGACCCTTGTTGGTTGCATATAAAACTCTACTGTAGGGGGGTATCTTGCCTGGTTGGCTGGGTACCGTGTAGCGCTGGCCCCGCATGTCTGGCTGGCCAAACTCCGCCTGCGCAGGATTCGTGAAGCCATGGCGAACCTTGCCAAAGACCAGCATGTCCTGACAGCAGGGTGGGCCTCATCAGCACCTCTCTGGTCCTCTCAGCCTCGCAGTGGAAAAGTAAAGAACAACTGTCCAACCCTTGGTATGATAGCGCCAAGCTTTTTTGCCCCGACTATCAACGAACAGAACCCAACAAACAGAAAACCACTAAAAAGAGCCAACAACAGGTGAAGAGAAATCCAGTGCTGGGGAAGGTCATGACTGATCTTGTTTGTCAGCGAAGGACTGGCTTGTCAATTTTCACTTTACTTGGAAACCCTGAAGGCGACAAAAGGGGATAATGGCAAGCATTTGCAGAGGGGGCAATAGCCTTTGCGTTTTTTTTGCTCCCTTAATTTGGGGCTGAAATCTATCTTTTCCTCGACTCAAGGGCCCTGTTGGGCCGAACGGCATAGAGAAGTTGGGTTAAGGGGCATGCTCGCTGATTGTCATCCTTCGGGGGGATCTCCATTAACCCAATCGCCCGTTGCCCTTCTCTGCCGATGGCGTACTTCGCCAGCCGCATGATCTTGCGACAGAAGTGGCTATTTCCATTGCGTTTCGTCAATGGGTCTGCCACCATGAATTCGCCAGGAACCCAGTGCGTTGACAAGTTCAAAGCCCTAGCTGACACACAGATCACGGCCACGTCAATCTGGGCCCGTCTGCAGTGTCCTGCGTTCCCACTACGGCGCTGCAACAGATCATACAGTGCTTTGGCGTCTGTCACATGCAAAGCCGGCTCACTCTCACCGCCAGGATGGACTCGTCGCCGCCCAGTCGCGTGCCGTCCAGCACACAGGAATCCTTGTTCATCACCTCGCACGACAGCGCCCGGATCCACTCGAGCTCTGCCAGGGCGTCGTCCATGGCCAAGCCCTCACTCCCCAACGCCAGGAGTTGATGCTGAAGTCACCAGCAGCTCCGGTCTGAACGACTTTGTCCACCAGGGCGATGATGGAGCCACCCTGCGACTTGCTCTCCACGTTGGCCATTGAGGCATCAGCCACACTCATCCAAATGGATTGGTGTGGTTCCAGCGGAAGTACATCCGGTGTTGCCTTGATTTCCTTGACAGTCTTGTTCGCCATGAGGATGTGGTCCACTGTCGGTCCTGGGAGGCTCCATGACATAGCCATGGCACAGGCTGCTCCAAAATGGCCGGCCTTCTTTTCCGACCCATAAACGTGCACCGCCGACACCCCGCAGCTGGTCCTTCCATTTGCCAAACTTCAGCCTTGTCCGGAGTACACCCATGAGCTCCTGGTGTCGTCCGTTTCCTCCTTGACAGAAATCGTCCACGTCCAACAGAACTACCCCAGCAACTCCAAGCAGTTGCCCAGGTGCTCGCTCCTCATCCAGCAGCTCCAGAAAATAGAGGCACGGGTCAAAGATCGACTCCTTGTAGTTCAGCTCCAGCAAATGTCACCTCACCGATTTCCTCCACATTGCCGGTGCATTCACTAGCCCATATGCCACCGTCCGGACCTCCACCAATGCCCCGCCTGGGCCAGGGATGCCAGTTGGAGGCATCGAAGCATAGAGCGGTCCTTGTTCTCGCTCGTGAGGGTCCGACTGTCCAAAGGCTGAGGACACATCCATAATGAACAGGCAGTAGCGGCTGCTCGCGATGATCTGCAGGCACAACATCACCGTCGTTGATGATGGCGTAGCGCTCCAGCTCTACCTCACCGGCTTTCTTGGTGAAGATGAAGCGGGCAGGCATAATCCGACCAGGATGTTCTCGTCGGATTCGGTCCAGCTCCTTGGAGTCCTCCACGATGCTGATCGGGTTACTGTTCTCCAAACTGCTGATCTCCAGCAGCTTCGCCGCATCCAACAGTACTCGCTCTTCAGGGGTGAGTTGTCAGGTAAGCCAAGTGGTGGTGGATGTCGCGCTCGTTGTAGATGATGTCGGAGGTTCGTAGACGAGAGAACGCCACTAGGTCTCGTTCCCCACAGATGACGGGGAACTGTCTCTTGTCACCCCACTCCGTGACATCGTCAGCACGCCAAGTGCCAAACACCTTCTATGTGGTGGTAGCTCGGCTCTGCTCAGCTCCTTCTAGTCCTCTCTTCATGCCTGCATCCACCAAGCGTGCATCTTCCTGTTTTGGATGACGGTCATCCTTCTTCACCTGGCCGCCAGGAGGGTCAGTCGTGATCGGTTTCCCGGGATCAGAATTTCCTTCAACACGTCGATAAACCAGTGTGGCCTCGATATCCTCAATCCCATCCGGGAGCCTCCTGTAGAGCTTCTTGGCCATCGCTCCCTCGGTGATGTCCTCATCGTCCACGATGCGGTCGTTCATGAGGTCTCGCGTGATTCTCCTCACCAAGCAGTTGCGTGTCCTTGGGGACGGGACGAACTGCTCTGTCCTTGCGCTTCTCGTTCTCCACCGCCGACTTCTAGAGTTCATCTGAAGCTCCCGCAGTGCTAGTAGTGATTGAGGGTGCTGGTAGTCCATGAAGAGCGGGTTCCTCTGCCTCTGGTGCTAGTGGTGTCTTCTCCTGTCTCGGTGGTGTAGATCTCGATCTTTCCCTCGAGGAAGTCGATGACTCTAGCTTCGGTGTAGCCGGAGCCGGTCTGATCGTAGTTGTTGCCGGTCTTGGTGTTGATGGCGCCGGCAACGGGGTAGTTGGCGCTCCGAAGGATTGGGTGTTCTCAATCCTTCGGGGGGTCCTCGAGGCGTTCCTGGCGCCTTCCGAAGAATTGGCTCTTCTTCCCGAAGAAGGTCTTGATCTGCCGGTTGTGCTGGTGGTGCTTGAGGCTCAGGTCGTTGAAGTTCTGCTTGTTCTTCATCGTCGAGTGGCAGGTCCGGAGGTCCTTCCTTGTCCACATCGATGTAGCCCAACCGATGAGGGTCATAGCTGAGTTTCTCCTTGGCTCTCAACAGGTCGATGGGAATGGCCTCCAAACCCTGCTTCTCCAGGTTGCCCATCTTGAGCACCTGTGCCTTGTTCTCCTCTCCGGGTCACTCAAACGCTGTCCCCTTGCTGGAGGACCACGAAGCATGGTCCGACCTTTGCCTGAGTGCCCCCTTTGCCCTGTCGCCAGACAAAGACTGGCTCTCCATCATTGAAGACGCACTCTTCTCGTGCTCGTCGGGCTCTCGTTGCTGTCCACCTCCGTGAGTGCCTTCTTTGCCGCTGCGCGGATTTCCTCCGCCTTCTTCCAAGATTTGTCCGTGCTCTGGGTCTGCTCACATACTCCCCATGGTCGTTGATCAGCTCGGCCGCGATGTTCGGCTGTCGACTAAACACCCGTTGAGCAGGAGAGTACCCTGACCGGTTGGTCATCTCCTGAAGGCCAGTCGGTGGCCGCAATGCTCTTGAGACCTGCTTGATAAGGCCACCCCGGCGCTCCAGAGTGCCATTCTAGTACGGCGAGTCCCGTGCGATCGGCATGGGTTGGATATTGCACTCTTCCAGTCCTTCCTGAAAATCACCGCTGACAAATTCATTGTGTTGGTCGTAGATGAGGAAGGCCGGACTGCCGAAGACCCGCACCCAGTGCTGCAGGAAGCATGACCAAACCAGGGCCGCCGATCTCCTTGTCGGATGCACCATCGTGAAGGTGCTGTAGAGCGTGCCCGCGTCCGTGGCGTAGCTGCGGGTAACCTTGTAGGCTGTTGCTTTTCTCGAAGGCACCCTTCACATCGAAAATCAGTCACCACGTAGTCGATGATGTCTTTGCGAACACCGGCAGTGCGAAGAAGTCGAATTAACTCCTTGCTTGCGGATGTCCCAGATTGATGTGGCTCCGCAGCACAGCTGACTTCTCGGCCGTAGCGACACCTCTGCCTTCTCCCTCGGCGTAGGTCTGGGTCATGACCGGGTACGTGTAGACCACCGCTACATAGGCGTAGTCCACCTCCAAGCGAACAGGCTGGCCACCTGTTCCTCGTTCTATCTGCAGCCAGCGATTCTCCAGGGGTTCAACACCCAGGGTCCACCTCCAGGTGCGGCGTCGGGGTCCTGACCTCGACAGTACCTTCGGTCTCTTCAAGATCAGCACCGCATGGTCGGCGAACTTGGTCCATCTCGCCACCTCGTTCCGTTGCAGCTCATCGATCCACTGATTGAGCTGCGCCTGATCAGGAAGTTCAGGCTCATCCACCTGGCTCTTCAGCCAGTCCTCCAGCATGCCATCCACGATGCACTTCACCAGCTCCGGCGGGTACTCCTGCGCGGATTGCGCTCCGCACTTGCATAGTTTCTGCAGCCGCACTACGATGGCATCCCAGCTCGTCGCAAACAGCGTGGACTTCTTGCTCATCCGCGAGTCGCGTCCAACCTGCAGTCCAAACCTGCAGAGGTGACTCTTCACGAGTCGAATCCTCTCATGGGCCAACAACTTCTCCACGACGGGCAACATCCAGGAGGTAGCCGTGTCTGGGTGTTCATGTAGCCCGTGGTCCACGCTCCAGCTGCTCCTCCTGCATTTCCATGCTGAAAGTCATGTGGTCAATCGCCTCGGGCAGCTCCTCCTGTAGCCGCTCTGCATATGGCCGAAGATTCTGGAGTTGGCAAGACTTCGCACCAACAGTCGGGGTCGTCTCTTTCGGAGTTCGGCCCGTACGTTGTTCTTCGTCTCCTTAGATGGGAGGTCATGGCCCGTCTTCAGGGCTTTCAAACCTCGGGCCGCCGCCTCCTTCACCACGCGAGGCTCGCCATCATCAGGTTCCTCAGCTTCCCAAAAAGACCAGTAGGCCTGATGATCGGCCAACATCTCACCAGAGCTCCCAATAGCTCCATCCGCGTTGCCCTTGGCAAACTTGTCTTGTTGCTCTCCTCATCGTTGTGGTACTCCACCAGCTCGCTATCAAGCTCGTAGCAGACCAGGTGGTCGACCTCCTGCTGGAAGTCGTAGGTCTCTGTCGCGGACTTCGCAATGTCCACAATGTTCCAAAAGGCATCTTCACCGCACCGGGTCAAAATGATCCTGCGGTTGACAATCGGTAAGGTGGTGACAGGCGCAATGCCGATGACCTTGTCCACCTGGTGCACGGTGTAGGTCTTGTGCACATCCAGGAGCCGCTCGATCTCGGCTCGGGGGAACTTCTCGGTCGCGAAGTTCGGGTTATTGTCCGTCCACCAGCATCTCACTGGTGAACTCCGTAGGGCTGCACTCGTCGGCTCCAGGGAAAGAACAGAGTGCGTTCTGTTGACATCGTAGGTCACTTCTTGGGCCATCACCTGCTTCAGGTCGCTCACGGGAAAAGCGCACAGACAACCCAGGTCGGTGCACTCGTAGATCTCGGGCTCGTCCGGGTTCGGATGGTGTTTCAGCATGTCCGACTTCTGCCACTGGGGGCAAAGCACCGTGCGCTTGGCCAACTCGATCTCCTCCAGGATGGATGTCCGCTTCAACCGGCATCGTGGGTAGTTGCATTTCCACAGGAAGTGGCCGGTCGTCTTGCACAGGTGGAGATGGACACGCCCCTGACCGAGGCATTCCTGGTCCTCGTCGTCGGAATCCGTCATCACCACATCCGCCAGGTTGTAGTACTCCGTGGCCTCCACCTCCGAGTGGATCTCTTCCTTGACTGTCTCCGCCGGACTGGACTTGCTTTTGGAGGATGCCGCCGGCGATGGCGTAGGTGGCGTCTGCGGCGTCTTGTTTCCCTCGGACTTGGCCTTCTTGGGCTTCAGTGAAGATTCAGTCCCACGTCGTAGTCCGGCTTGGTGTAGGCCAGGATCTCGTTCCACTGTGTGAGTTTGGACACCACCGTGAGGGTGCAGCATCTTCCGGTGCGCGAAGGCTCTTGCCGAAGGTGCAGCTCTTCGAGTAGCCCTTTCCCTTCTTGCCGTTGCCTTTGCCCTTGCCCTTGATGCGCTCCCTGGCCTCAAAGAAGGTCTCCTCGAGGTAAGTGCTGAACTTCTCCACGGCTTCAGCCTCTTCCATCACCGAAGGAACCTCCTCCAGGAAGTTCATCTTGGGCTCGTCGTTCACGGTCTCTCCAAAGTAGATCAGGTCCTCGAAGGGATCTTCATCATAATCTTCATCACCATCAGCTCCACCACCATAGTACTCCGACTCATACTCCATGTCGATGAAGTCGCAGCGACCTCCGCCTGGTGACTTACTCATCCCATTTGTCTCCAAAGATCTTCTGCACGGCCCTCTCAATGTCCCGGCGGTGGATGGAGCCGTTGGTCACCACTTTCAATCGCTGTCGCTGGTACCCCAAGGTGCTGCTGGCGGTGAACGTCGACACGTGGACTACCGGATGGACCCGGCCCCCGTGTGGGGCGGTGATCAACCAGAGAAGAACTGGAAGGAGTACCACCGGAACCTGCAGTTGTGGTTGGTGGAGGCCGAAGCCCGGTTGCCGCATGCATTGATTGGCAAACGGATCCTGGACTCCATCCCGATCGGCAGCAAGTTGAGTGCCCTGGTGTCTCACCTCACGGTGGACGAGATCACGGGCACGAGCGGCTACCAGATGATCCTGAAGATCATCGAGGACGCTCACGAGTACCTCCGGGACATGCGCCTGGAGCAGGCGATCTTCAAGGGACGACGAGACAGAGGTCAAAGCCTGACGAACTTCCTGTCTTTCAAGAAGGCAGCTTTTGCGGAGCTCAGGAAGCAGGGCCTAGACTTGCTGGATAACAAGGCTGGTCGTCACCTGCTGGGACACTTGATCCTCAGGCAGGGAAACTTCTCGCAGGTGTGCAGATCTTCGCGATCCCGGAGTGCCTGGAGCACTCGCCGGTTCACGTAGTGGTTCGGGTGCTGGAGCTGGTGCTCGTGGAGGTTGTCCAGGGTTGACCTGTTGGAACCCATCGTCGTCTTCGTCATCAGGCGCCTCGTCAGGAGGCACAACTCCATCAGCAATCATGCCAGCGCCTCTCCGGGGAACCGCGCTCTACCCGGGCCCATTGCCGTCAGGCAAAGTCACGTCAGTGACCACTCCCACCGAAGTGGTACTTGTTCTCCTTCACCGGGATGCTGAAAAGGATCTCCTGGTGACCGTGCTGTCGTGGGTGTCCAGCTTGCTCTTGTTCGTGATCTTCTCCTCCAGCAACTTCACCTCCCGGGGCGTCCCCCATCAAGTGAAAGTCCTGCACCAGCGTACTGCCCGACCGTCACCGGGGCTCCGCTACCATGAAATACCCCTACGGGCAGCGCAGCTATCTTTTCCTCGACTCAAGGGCCCTGTTGGGCCGAACGGCATCGAGAGGTTGGGTTAAGGGGCATGCTCACTGATTGTCAGGCGCTTCTCGTGGAGGGCAGAAAGGGGCGTCTTCATCTTTTATTGGCTAGACCTTTGGCGAATGGCATTCGTTGGCTTGCCTGGTTGGAGGACGGGTACTTACGACCACGGGGCTGCACCGACCCATACTTGAGCCAGTGCATAAGTCTGCCACAATCAAAGCTGCCTCCTTTGCCGTATTTAGTAGCAATGAAAATAGAGGAGGGCCAACATCACTTCTCTTCTTGTGCCGGGGCTCCACAAATAATTCGGCCACTAACTGATACACTCCGGAGCCCTCAGCCGGATCTGCTGGTTGATCAGGAACTCTGTGCACACAACAACCAAAACTCCCTGGCCGAAGTGGAAGCCAGGGCCTGCAACTTGAACACGCCTCCGTTGCACTCACGGTTGAGGCACTTTGCTCTGGTGCGCAATGCTTCCTTGGGAGGCCAGGCTTTTTTACCAACAAGGCCCAACAAAAACCCCCCCTTTGGTTCACTTCTATGCGACACTACAACCCCACAGCGATTGCTCACGACGGTCGACGGTCCCAGCGGGCTCCACTCTCCCGCAGCTGTTCCTCACACCTCGCGTACGGGCGGATATCCAAAAAGGTTTTACCAGAACACACACACACACACACATATATATATATATACATACATACTCACGCACGTATATACAAATATACAAATACATACATACAAATATCGACATTCAATGATTGTAGGAAACCGAAGCCTTTCGCAACACAGGGAGGATTGAGGATTGCTGTTGAACAGCGGAAATAGTAGAATCTTGCCCCTCGCTCCAGCTAGTGGGCTCGACTTGCCCAGAGTCTTGGCACCAAACACTCAGCCGCATAAAGGGCTGTAGCCATCCGAACAAGCGCGCCCCAAAGACCATGAGGAAGAAATTCGGCCCGAAAGGGAAACCCGGAAATCCTTGTGTCCTGGTGATGGGTTTGGGCTCGGAGCAACCTTGCCAAATGTAAGAGAACAACGTGCTTTCTACCAACTTGATTGCAGGTTGATATGCCGCCCCTTCCTCACCGATGACAAATTGTTCATGCGAGGACAGTCCCGCAGCAACTCCGACAAGGCCAACGGAGGAAAGAGTTGCCAGACCACGTCCTGGGTCAATCCAGTAAAGAAACCAGCCACAGGAACTTCTACCGGAATTTCCCCACCCGCTCAGGGGGCCCACCCGAAACATTTCCCAGGGATCCTTAAAGGATACTAAAACCGATTCTTTGACTGCATCTTTGGGGCCCAGTTCCCTGCAGCTTGTGTAGACAACGAAGCGGCCAGGCTAGTCAGCGTGGAAGAGTACCATGATCAGAGCCAATCGAAATTCACGCGGGGCTGGGTAAATTGCCCGGTGGTTCTTGTGACGGTGTTGGGCGTCATGTTGTTGGTGGTCCAAATGCCGTTCTTAAAGCCTAACATTAGCAAACCCTGGTTGAGTCCGATCCGGGTGCGCGTTCCATTTGGCTTCTGGAACCGAACGCGGCTGTTCACGCGGGTGTGTTCATTCGAGGCAGGAGCAAGCATTCACCAACGGAAAAAGTCGGATTTCTGTCAGAAACCTCCAGGTCGAAAACCTCTTGTACTTCCTCAGCTTCTGCCCGCAACCAAAAATACCAAAACACACTGTGCCCATACTTCATGAATCTCAAAACATACGATAGTTCCAAAAGAGATTCTAGCCAGCTGTGTGAGGTCGCCGCCCAAACACACGGACCCCTGGCATGTACGCCAAGTTCGCAAATCAAATGGTATGAACCCCGGCACAGCCCCCCAACTGGGAACACCAAGCCCCCCTCCACACAATACGTACAGGGGGAAGTGTATGTGCAAGGGCGCTTTATTTACGTGGTGAGGGGGCCACCCAAATCTCCGGTTCCTACTTGCTTTCCCCAACAAGGGTCCTGTAAACAAGACACTCTCCAAATGCTGACTTCATACCAAGCATGAAACACTTCTCCACCTGTGAGCACATCCCAGTTTGCTTTCGGGCTCAACCGTTTGCTTTTGCAAACCCCGGACAAGGAACCAGGATGGCTTTGGAGAACTAGCCACAAGTTGACAGTTGCTTCCTCGGACTCCACAAGGCCGGCACGGGATCATTTTCTGGCACCCCTCACTGAGCGCCCTGGCGCCCTCAAGCCTTCAACGCTCACGAAGGGATCCGCGTCCCCGTGGCATATCAGCACCCGGGGCCTCAACTGGTTGAGGACCTGCTTGGAACCTGTGTGAAAAGCCAACCCCTGGCGAAACAAGAGGCAACTTGTGTGTTGCGACGTTGCAGGTCTGCGTAAAACAAGCAAGGGCGTGAGTCTGCAAACATCCACACAGTGAACTATGGGGTTCTCAAGCTTTGGGGGTCCTCTTTGAGACACATCCACAAGCGAATCCTTCCAGAGAAATAATCTCTCGAAGTGATTGACATGCAGGTAGCTTCCTGCCACATTTACATTTACGACCACACAGGGGTCCCTGCAGGATGCGTGAAACATGTTTTGGGGCTTCCTGCTTGACAAGGATTTGGATCCGCTCTGGCCCCAGCAGGTAAGTAACACCCCCCGGATCAGGGTCCCTGGGCTTTGGGCCAGAACTGTTTCAGACTGCGTTGTCTAGTACTGGCATCAAACGGCAAAGGGGAACCAGACCAGGGTGACCCCTAACAAGCACATCTGCAGAGTTTCGCTGAGTGGATCTGGGTTAGTGTTGGTGTAGTATTGGGTTATTTAACATACGTATTGGCAATTGTTGGGGTCAGCTCGGGGGTTGTTATTACGGGAAGGTCTATTAATAGGAAGAAAGGATTACCCTTGAAGGGAGCCTGCGCTGCAACTCTGGGCCAGCAAACATACAAGCGCACACCCGGGCACTTTAGCCCAATGCTCGCACTCCACTTCACCAGGGCTGCTAAAGCCCTCACACCTACACGGACAACAACACAAGTTGGCAATCATGGGAAAGCCCTTCAGATCACCTCATGGATGCTTCGGTCTAGTAGGGTTGCTCCCTCAAATGGGCGTGTAGGGAGTATTCACCAAAACAGATACAACATTGGCTCGTTCCCCCATGGGGAACCATGCCACACGCTGGGGCCAAGGCGCGTCCTCGTGTGACATATCTCCACTTGTCACCACCTGAAGCTCGCTTGCCAGTTGACTGGCCAGCTCATTGGTCGGCCATTGCCGGGAAAAGGGGGAAGGAATCCGGAATTTGCTACAGCCTACCTACGAGTGATTCGGAGGAATGAGGCCGGCCAGTGATCAGGGCCACTAAACATGAAACCCCATTTGGGGGCCATGTCATGCCATGTCTTTCCCAAGGCCCTCTGGTGCTATCGCTCTGAATGGCCTACTGTGCATTGACAAACTCCACTTCGTACAACATGGGCTGGATGAAATGGACGAAACTCTGTGAATAATGTTATGTAACGTTTACCGGCTGGTGCGAGCTGGAGTTTGTCCATCCACAGCATGGCAAATTTGTCAACTGCGCCGAATCTACAACTCAGAAACCGGGAAAGCCTGAAATATCATTGCAAGCTTTGCTCTAGCCCAGTGGTAGTAGGTGGCCAGCCATTTCCTTGGTACTCCACCGCATCCAATACCATTTTGAGGAGAAGGAGAGCCAATGGGGGCCCAAGTCGAACACCAAGCCCGCAAAGAGCCGCAGGACTGATGCACTTGGTGTAGAAAGTTGGTTTGTTCAAGATCAGGGGATCTCCCGAATCCTACTCGGTGACCCGTTGCACAACAAGGAAATCACCACTACAAGGAATCCACCGTCTAGCAAAAGGATTGAATCATTTCCCAATTCATCCTTGAAGCACCCTCCCAACAACAAACATGGAAATGCACAGAAGCCTGTTCCAAAAAGAGCGTAGTCTTCCAAAGGCGGCCTATGCTCTTCTGTGCTTGTGGGGGAAAATGTCAGAGTGCCAAGAAGTTGTGACAAACAACTGACCTTCACGTGGAAGTGAACCGCGGCAAAACCTTGGAGCATCAACCCCCGGGTGGCTGTGGAGGTCAGACAGTGCAAAACAACAACAAGGGCCAATAAGGATCAAACACACATCAAGCTAAACAAAAAAGAAAACGGGGCCAGGAGGCCAAAGCAACGACCAACAAAGGCTTGAACAACGAGTGCTCACAAGTGCCTTCGGCACACAAATCCTAGGGCCCTGACTCCATTGTCCAGGATGCCATGGAATGAGACAGCGGCCTAGGTCACTCGGACCATGCGCGTGGCAATGCTCAAAGGCGTTTCTTTTAGAACATGCAAACGAAGTCACCGCACTCCTGGTTGGTAGTTTCTCTTGATGACTTGGGGATTTGAACTCCGAACCACGCACCAGGGGAGCAAAATCACATTGCCTGGCAAATGCCGGCCGCAAAATCGGGCCTTTCTTGTGGAGGCCTCGGTGGAAAGATCGCTGCTTGGAGCGGGCAATTCTGTTGGCTAGTTGTGGGGACTTTCACCAGGTTGGTTTTGCAGGGGCACCAAAAGGAAAGCCACAATTCTGCCCTCCACCACCACCACCACCAAAGGGAAGTTGAACATCTGATTGCACACTGAAGAACGTGCTCGGGGCTCTGCAGGCCATAAGGGGAGGTCAACTCAAAAACATACGCAGCCCTAAACGAACAAGGGCAAGGAGCCTGATGAAGAGGCGGTCAGCTTCCAGCACCACTCATGCACAGCCCATAGCCGCCTCTTTTTCGCGCATGCCATGTAACCTAGGCATCGATGCTGAAAAACGTTTCCTCCCTCACGCGCCTGAAGGAGTTCAGAACCTGACGGCTTTCTTCAAACCCTTAAGTGGCCGTGCCTGGATGCAGGCGCGGGTGTTTTTCCACATGTCTGAAGCAGGGGTCCCTTTTTTGCCCTCTTGAAACATCCCCCCCCCAAAAAAAAAACTAAAAAAGAATAGAAAGGCCAAAGAGGTAATGCTTGAATCCCCCAAGGGTTGATGTAAGGAGCCTGTGAAGCTGAGGGGTGACACGTCCCTGTCGTACCGACACGCGCCCGGTCTCAGCTCGGCATCCGTGTCCGAGAGGCGTCGGCCTGAGACAAGGGCCCAAATAAGCAGAACTTGGCTCTGGCGTACTTTCAGCCCAAATTCAGTCCTGGTTGTAGGAGCAAACTGTTGGTATTTACTTCGCCACTGATATCACATAGAAAGATCAAATCTCTTGAAGCGACCCTATGTCAAGCCTACAATCATCGAAATGTCGGATGTTGGAAAACCACAATCGTCTTAAACAGTTTGCCCTTCCACTTGAATGATTGTTGGAAGAAATGCGATGATCAGGGGGCCGTTTGCCAAGGGTGAAATGGGGTCCGGAAATCAAACAATGTGCATCGGTCCTAGTTCCATTGGCAATGGGGGAATCTCAACAAGGTAAGGATGTGCCTCAAAATAGGGTAATGTTAGATAGCGATTAGTATAAGGGGAGTGAGTACAGAAAACGAATTCTCAAAATGTTTCACTCTCCTGAAAAGCAAAAAGGGTAGGTATTACAGAACAAAATCGGCCCGAAATCCCGAAAATATGTTCCCTTCCAAGAATGGACTATTTTGGAGGGTTGAAACGTTTGAGTCCAGCCAGAAATGTCCAGAATTTCTAGGTTGCTTCCTGTCCCAAACCACCAAATTCCTTACCAATCCCTTTGCTAGAAGATGCACCCTGACAAATTTTCAAGGGGGTGGCACACGGAACCACCAAAAAGGCAATAATGCAGTTTGTGTAAGGGTAGGGAATTGTGAAAAAAATGGCCAGGGCAGCCTGTCAAGAAGAAGAACCAATACTAAACCAATTCTAAACTGTAGTGAGTCAACTGAAAAGAATACTGAACTAATACTAAACCAATTCTAAACCGTAGTGAGACAGCTCGAAGGAATACTAAACCAATACTAAACCAATTCTAAACAATACTTACTGGAAGACTACTCAGGCAGGTCCCAGTCTGACCCCCATTTTGTTTTTGGGGTTTTCGCTATTGACCCCCCCCCCCCCCCAATTCGTTTGAGGGGGGGGGGGCCTTTACTAATCACTCTCCAACATTACCCCACAAATTATGTTTATCCTTGTGGTTTCTCTATGAAACCCCCGCAAAAAGGTACCCTCAAAACAAGGCACACCCGTATGGATCATCTAACACCTTGCACCCACCGAGCAGGATGACCAAGCATCTCTATGGGGGGTTGGCAACGCCCAGGATGAGGATTCCATCGGGATGAGACCCCTGGCTGCCGAAATAGAGCATGTTCCGCAGTTCAGGGGTTCCTCCCCTTTTGGTAAGGAAACGATCTATTTTAATGGGGTCCTCTGACTGCATAACTCCCAAAATGTGTGGCTTCCTTCTGTTCCCCCTGCCAAAAGTAGAAGCAGGTGGCATCCTCCAAAACACGCACCGCCCCTCGCCCGCCCGCGAGGTGCCTCCGGTCGGAGCGCCATGAGCCGCGCAAGGCACCGCGCGTCCCCGCAGCAGTCCTCAGCGTCGATTCCCGGCGCAGCAGCGGCCGTCTCGGCGGTTTGCAGGGGCGAAGTGCGGGCCTGCCAAGGCGGAGGAGCGGCGGGGGAAGGGGATTGCCCGTACACCCGTGGAAGGAAATGGCAGAATTCCTTTGTGGGTCCTAAGTTGCACTTCTTTTCAAGCGTAACCTTTTTGGAGTTGGTTCGAATATGTGCATGTTGGACAGAAGCCAATGGAAAGGATGCAATAAGTTTCTTTTGGTTTCCCTTTGCAGCAACTCTGGAAAGGTATCAACAGAAAAGGCACACTATGTGTAAAGCCCTCGTCGGTTGGTTAAGCCATGAACTGTGGCTGGATCAAAGGAACCACGCAAGGGGTCTAAAATGGCAAGGTTCCACTGCAAGCCCGCCCTCCACTTCGGATTAGCCCGAAGCAAACTGAAACCCAAATGGTTGCCAATCCTAATCCAATCCATCATCCCTACTTACACAGGGGGGGCAAACATCTTGCGGATTGCCGTAGCCCCCCCCAAACCAAAAAAACAACCTTTGGATGCCTAAAATGTCAAATTCAGGGACCCCCGGGGCCCGCGGTGGCGGTTGATTTCCACTTTGAACAACCCGAATGGAGACTAAGGGACGGCTTCCCCTCAACTGGGCTCCCGCCCAAATAAAAAACATAGCAACTCCCTTTGGACGACCAACAAATCTCAACTTAAGGGAACCCTGGGTTGATCTCCCCAAAACTTGCTGGTGCTGACCACACTGAAAATTCGGGAATCACCCACAAAAAGAAAGAAAGAAACAAACACAGAAGTTATCTATTTTTTAAAGTGTGCCTTCCTAGGGAATCCTCGGGTCAATTCCATTTCTCATTCCCTGCCTATCGCACCAAGAAAACTAGGTCCTCCAGTGGAGAGGTTAGAATAAGGGTACCCTTTTTTTCCCGTAGTCTATTTTAGTAGGGGAACCTTCCCCAAAAAAAAAAACGGTAAAAAGGCACTACTGGGGGTGGCCCCCCGTCCGAAGTCCGAAGTCGGCCTGGCGGCAGCGCTGCCAGGCGCGCATCAGCTCCGCGGAGCCCCCGGGGCCCCCGGAGCTCACCGCGGAGGCGGCCACGGCCGCGCGCTTCGCCGTGGCCGAGAAGCGGCAGAAGGAGCTCAACACGAAGGCGCGGCGCCTAAGCGAGAACCCCATGGTGTCCGCTCGAAGTTTGGATCATCAAAAAACCATGAAGTCGATGGACTCTACCCTAAACCCTGAACCTGCTAGAAAAAAAGGAGTTTAAGATGGTTTGATGGTTTGATGGTTTGATTGCTAGACAAAACGGGAATCTATGGACTTATCACCCCTACTTTCTGGGGGCGGGGGTGAAAGGTCCCCAATGTCATTCCTCTTCCCATGAAAAAGGAAAATGGGTTGCCAGAATGGAATCTGAGGGGTTCCCTTAGGGAAGTGGTTTCCACTACCCGCAATTTGGCTCTTTAATAAAACCAAATGCAATAATCTATTGGATTCTACCCCAAACCCTAAATCCACTTAAAAACGGAAATGTAATTGTTGGTGAACTCCACCACTCACATCACACAGCATCCCCCCAACACACCGATCCCAGCGCCGGTCCAATGTTTTAGTCTTCTTCTAGGGTGCCGGACCCAGCCACTTCGCACCAGTTGCAAATAGCAACCAACCAAAAGACCCCCCCCCCCCACTCCTTTGAACGGAGACTTGCCTTGCTCTAAACACGGCCCCCCACCCCCACCCCACCTCAGTCCCCCCCAACCCCCCCCCCTGCCCCCAAACCCACCTCACCCGCATCCGTCTCTCCGAGGCTTCGGCAGCTGAGTCTTCTGGCGCTTGATGGCCTCCGCCGCCTCCTTGGTGCGGCGGTCCTCCCAGCAACGGCGGCACCACCAGGACAGCAGCTCCTCCTGCGCCTGGCTCAGGCGCGAATTTTCCCAGGGGCAAAGCGTGCTCCCAGTTGCTCTTTTGATTTTTAAGCGACCTCCAATTTCCATGGAATAATTGGGCACCCTGGCGTGATGGCCGTTTTTTGAGAGTAATTACCCCTTCTACCTTCGTTTCAAGGCAGCAAAAGGAAAACCTTCCATTTGGGAGGCGTGCCCTTGTTTTGACACATAACCACCCAACAGCCCGGCGGATTTCTCCCATGAGAAGAACCAAAGTAGCACCATTTTTTTGCTGTTGGTTATCTGTCAGGGACACCCCTCCCAAAAAGGAAAGGGTGCCTTGTGTCTGCTGATTGCTAACAAGCGCCTGCATCCCTGAAAAACTGGAACAAGCGGAAACCCGGCCGGAAAAAAACATTTTTTGGGTGGCAACAACGTGCTACTGATTGGAGAAAGCAGACCGGATGCGAAAACACATGTCCAGCAAGAATAGGCTACTGACAGCAAAGCACATCCAGCCCGTTCAGCATTCCACACCTGTTCGCCCTTTGATGCTTGCAAGCACAACCACAAACAGATGTTGATAAAGCATCCAACACGGGCTGCGACGCTAACCGGCTACTGGCCAGGCAAACATCTAATTACACCCAAAGATGCAGTTTGACACGCTTTGAGTTTGACAACTAGGCGCAGTCGAAAACAATGCCTGCACCAGATTGGGGAATACTGGGCTAAGCGTTGAGTGCGTCAAAACTATGTGACGCGTTAGGATTTGCATCCTTGAAGCTTGCCTATGTACGGAAACGCCCAAATACGGGCCTGGCTCAAAGGGCCCA